GCTACACGGGGTGGGAGAAGGGAGCCGGCCGCCGTGGGGCAGTCCTGCCGCCGAACCGGCCCCAGCCAGGCCGGGGGAGCTGACTGGAAACGCGGGGTCGGCGCTGCCGGGGCCGAGAGGGGAGGAATGGCTTTGCCTCAGGGCAGCTCGTGACTCCCCGTTTCTGGCGTTTGCCCGTTGGCGTGAGGCGGTGGGCGGTAAAGGGGCGCAGCCTGTGCTCCCCGAGGGGCGGCAGGGCCGGGAGACCTCCCCGGCTCTGGCGAGGAGCTTGGTCACCAGTCACTGCAACGGGAATGTTGTAAGATCTCGTAACAAATAGTTGAAGCAAAGCGTCCCGTGCTTTGATAAATTAATTGCATAATTGTAGAGCTGTTCTGTTAGTATTTTGGCCCGGTGCCTGTGCGGGGGTGGGTGGGAGTGTGTTTCAGTAACTTTTCCATTTGATCTACGTTTTTGCCCCAGAGCAGAAGGGGAAACTTGTGAAATCTCAGCCTTTCTGAGACAGGATTTCCCAAAGCTCCCTACGCTGTCCTATGGGAAATGGGGACACAACAAAGTGCAGACTGATCCTGGAATTTCTTCAAGATTCTCAGGCACACCGCTGCTCGTCAACAGCACCTAAGTGAAGCTGTAGGTACCCCAGCTGTCTGCCCTGCCTCGTGGTACTACCCTGCAGAGTGTGCTGTTTTAAGTGTTTCCTCTCGCCACCTTGCCAGTCCGTCCATCCAGGAAGGCCCATTTTGTCCCATCTCATCACCATGTAGGTTTGGAGAAGGTGAGCTGAAAAGTACTTCCTTAACCTGCAAAATGGACTAATGAACCTGTGTCTACCAGAACAGCTTTTGAGGCCAAAACACTGCTCATATGGATAATTTTAAAGGTTTCCTTCTAGTAGACATGTAAAATGCAGATTCTGGCTTTGTTTTTTCTGTTGTTCTAAGTGGATACATGTTCAAAATATCCTTCCATACCAGTATAGCTATGACTGGATGTAGCATCAACTAGCATAATTCCCTGGGTAGAAACTCAACTTTGGTAGGTAGATTTTATCAGAAAATGAAAGATTGAGATTTATTTTGCTTTTAAGCTTTCTGTTTGGCAAGGAAGCCCTCCTGAACAAAGGAAAATGCTTAGCAAGTAAGTCTGGAGAGAATCAGGAGTTTGCTCAATGTGCTTCAGTCTTTTTGTTACGCGCGTCAAGGTAGGCGAGCACAGTCAGAGCTGCTTGTACGTGCACACCAAAACCATCTGGCTTCCTCTGCGCACAGACCAGCATGATGGGCTCCTGCAGGACAGAGGCAGAGCACACAGGCGTCAGTCTGTGGAGTTTAGCATCAGTGCCTAAACGCTTCTCCTCACATACATTGGACACAAGTGTTTCTTTCCCACTCCTCCAGGACTGCCTGTCACGCTGCAACACACCAGTCTAATGAGCAAAGCATGAAAATCCATCAATTTGAACAAGAACAAATCAAAAAGAAGAAAAACCAAAAAAGAAACATGAGCAATCAAAGTGAAATGTGGCCCCAGCTCAAAGTAAAACACACAAAGAGCAAGGCGCTCCCAGGAACAAATCCCAGAGCAGCCGGTTGGCTGCCAGCTTGGATTGCAGAGTCCTCCAGGGCTGGGGGTTTCAGCCATCATTGCCCCTGAGGATACCAACGTGGTCTGCAAAGGCTCTGTGTTGCAATGCAGAGAATGTTTTTGTCTGGTAAATCAATGATAGGAGCACAGCAATTCCTGAGCACCACACGGGGGGCCTAGCAGCTGACTGCGTGGTTTCACTCGTAAGTCATGGGCGTAATATTGCCTCTTTTCTTCCTTCATCCCTTGCCCGGCTCTCCCCTTCCCCCACCTCCCCTCACACATTTTAAAGGTTCCTCGTGCATTATTTACAGAAATAAAAAAATGCAACTTTAGGAAATTCCCGTGCCTTGTCAGCACTGGAGATTTGCTCAATTTCTCCCCTAAGACCCGAGTCATCAGTGTAGCTGCCAGAATACAAATTCCCACTGTACTTAAGTAAAGCTGTTTGCCTGAGTTTGCATGGCATGATTTGCCGTTGTGCTGTTAGCCTTGGCTTCACGCAGGAGAAAATGTCTCTG